ACAATTAACTAGATTGATGGTGACTGGTTGATTATTGAAACAATCCTCAACTAATGAAGCAATTGATCAGTCGTGAACTGGAAATATACAGACTCTGCAACCAGCTGAAGGGAAACCCACTCAGAGTAGTATTTATGCATACATTCAAAATAATATATACACAATTTCTATTTAAGCTGAAGCACATTTTTATCCATGATTATTTTCTGTTCAGAGTTCAACATAAGCTTCACAAGCCTCCCAGACTAGATGCCCTGTACTGAGGGTAGAACCTCTGGTGCAACAGGAAGGAGATGCTGCTCCTTCATTTCAGTTGCATGTGCTAACAATTTATCAACAAATTAATTAATCCTTTGTTTTACCAATACACATGTTTTGAACTCTATCCTAGCAATTTGTCCATTAGTTTTTAGAAGAAATGAACAGATCCTTGACAGAGAAATGGACAGAGACTAAGTTTTAACTAAGGTTGCTACCGGAATGGAGTTTAATGGAGGAAGAGACCTCTGCTGTTCCCATGGCTGATTAATGGGTTTCTCCAGTAAAGAAAGCAAGGATGACTAGTGCAAGGACACCTCAAGGGTTTCCCTCAGAGACAGACAGGAAATAATTAAGAGGATTTTAATGGTTTTGCTTGGTTGGGGTGGGAAGTTTGGTTCACAAAATCATAAAGGTTAAGCTGACAAAGCAGCTGAGAGGGCAGCCATCTGAACAGTACAAACAGCATTTTGGAATAATTTTGGTTAATATCTAAAGTGGTGTCTTAAGACTTCATTATTATTTATAGATATAACTGTATTGACGCATGATAATATAAACAAAGATATAGTTGTTTCATCTAAGGTAGTGTTGGTATTTACAGTATTGCTTCAGAACTTAACTGCTACTTCAGCAGGAAGACAAGTCGGGTTTAAATAGGGTAACAGGTCAGGTCTTGGTTCTGAACTCTATAAGTCCGTTTGGTCCCGACTTCTAAATGGGGATAATTGTTGGTAACGGGTCAGGTCTCGGTTCCGAACTCTTCGGGTGCACGTGGATACAGTTTCAAAAAATAAGACCCATGTAGGACTCTGGTAGCCTCGTGAGAACATCCTGATCTCATGAGCTTTCAAGGTTTCACTCGCTAATCAGCCTGGATACTCTCCGTTAAAGAAAATTTGGAGCAGTTCACCAAACGAACGACCAATCAGCGTTGGCTTTGAGGCGGGTTGAGGTGTGACGCAACGAGAAGCGCGACAGTTCAGTCTAAAGAACATGGCGGCTTCAGCCGATGAAACTAGCATTGGCGTGGCTATCCAGCACGCCAATTTTATCGGAATTACAAAGTATTTCTTTACTGAAAGAAGAGCAAAACACTGCTCTGGAGGCTTTTCTCAGAGGAAAAGATGTTTTTGCTCTTCTCCCGACTGGTTTCGGCAAGAATTTGATCTTGTGGTTGTGTTTTCGTCGTCGCTCTGTTAGTACGTCATATGCTTCGTTGATCTGATTGGTTTATTTGGCCCGTCTATCACCAACATAGGCCAATCAGCTAACCAGTATTTTCGCCCCTTCCCAAAATGACTTCAACGGAAGGTTTCCAGATGGATATGTGGAGCAAATCCATCTGGCGGAGTCAGGTTAGGACTCTGGTGCCTTTGCTAATAACTACGCATTGCAGACAAAAACCGAGAAAAACACTTTGATACCACTGTCTTAACTAGATGACCACTTTATTTGTCATGAGCATCTTATCATGATTTTTAAGGTTTGGTTTTTGTTATTGTTATTTTGTTTCTTTTTTATTGTTCTACCTTGCAGGATCCTTTCAGTTTTTCATCTGACATGCTTATATAGCCACAGATTCAAAAGGGACAGTCGTTGACCTTAACAATTTATTAAAACTCTCAGTTGACTTGCCTCCAAACCTAAGACCAGAGTGAAAACAATATTGGCTTAAATTAATTGTGTAAAGACAGTATGCAGCCAGTTGGTTCAAACATAACCCCCACACAGCTGTCCAGAATATCTTGCTGAGTTTAGTTGCTAAATTTACAAATATTAATGTGTCCTTCCTTTGCACAAATGAGTGTATCTGTCCTACGCGGGAGAGATAGATACTGTAGACCTATGTCCATCTTCACCATCTGCTCGTACAGTACTCTCATAGAGGACTTGGCAGAGGTCAGCAGCGCTTATGCAATAATTCTTTGCACTCCTGCATACGCAGATACGTCTCTATATTTGGCAGCAAGGCATAAAAAAGTAACAGTGCTGGGACAGTATTACTTATTCAAAATGGTTTTGTAAGCAATGTGAGCACTAAGACACAATATCAGTGACAAAAGCCTGCTTTTATAGCAGTGAATGTGTTATTCAAAAAGATACGTTTCGGATCACAGGTTTACATCTACCATAGATATGAATGTTAGAAGTATTTATAATCTTTAGAAAAGTTAGTTAATGGATTTAGTAAAATAAGTTATTTATTGGTGTAAATAATTATATCAGTATATTTACAAATTCGAACAAGGTCAGATTTATATTCAAAAGTAAAAATATGGGTCCCCCTCTCGTTTCATTCAAGGTCGCTAACGAGTTGATGACAAACCACTCACTTTTTGTGGCCATCATGAGGTGGTGATATAAGGCAGTTGTGATGGGTGTTGGAATCCTCAAAGCAGGGATGGAACCTGTCAAGAGCATCTGGGAACGAGAGGTGTTTTGGGTATTTTGCATCTCATATGTTGATGCATTTTTTGCACAAGCTGGAGATGTGGTGGAAAACACCAACACGGGGTCCAGAAATAGCTCTGTATCCACCGTAAATGTTGGTGTACACACAGTCGACAGTGATGTTTCCATAATTGGGAAAGCTGACATACTGTGACATACTTGGCAGTTTCATATCATTAAAGTCACCTTCAACCACTTAAAATGCCTCTGGATGCTAATCTGCAGCAGGCTAATGGTAATAGCATCAGCACCAGGTGGAATGTGCACTGTGAGCATCAACGCGGCAATACATTTCAGTGGCAGATTCCTGTATGACAGACATTTTATTGTCACATGTTCTATTACCTTAGAACTTTGTTTTGTTTTTGTTTTTTACCTGTCCCCAGTTAGTTAATTAACCTTCATCCACATACATATGGAGTCTTCTCCCATTGTGTCCCTGACTAGTGGTCAAGGTCTGCTCAGAATAATTAAAGACCACTAATCTGCAAGGCTGAGCCTAGCATGGTCCTTTTATGCTACTTTGGCAAAGAACAGCATAGTTTTTCATCTCTGCACAAACAGTCAGACGTACCAAGTCGACTTAATTATCCAGTGTTGGCCATTTGTCAGAAAGAGAAACAGAATGGTTGGCTTCCTACTCTTTAGCTGTGCCAAAATACCCGCCAGTTTCCCTTTCTTGTTTTCGAGCACAACTATCCCCTCTGTTGCTCCCAGCAATCTGCTTCAGTGTCTAGTTAAGGGTCAAGAACAGCTGTTTACCTAGTGCAGATATCACCCTCTGTGATATACTATGGCCATCAAGGCAGTTGAGCTGTACTTCAGCCATGAATTTAGCACTAAACCAGTGCGTAAATTAGCCATGGAGATGAAGAATGTACCGCACCTCTGTGTGTCGCTATGGCTCTGTTAAAACAAACATGGCAGGATTTATTTTCTACTTCTGTCTCCTTGAACCCCTGTCAGCCTTGGCAGATGGCCGCTCACACTGAGCCTGGTTCTGCTGGAGGTTTCTTCCTGTTAAAAGGGAGTTTTTCCTCTCCACTGTCACTACAAGCATGCTAAGTGTGAGGGATTGCCTTCGAGTCAATGCAGTCAACTGGTTTTCCTTATATAGAAAACTTTGAATCAATCTGACTGTATGTTCTAGTTGAAATGTAAAGTGAGGTCAGAGGACATGTGTTGTGAATTGGCGCTATTTCAATAAACTGAATTGAATTAAAATTGAATTTATTTATATAATTGTCCATGCAGGATCTTGAAAATATAAAATCGAAAATCTAACCACTCTTACGAAGTGCATACCCAACACACAAACTTCTAATTGTGTGTTTTTTTTCTTTCTATCATTAAGCTTTAAGTGAATCAAAGGTCACATGGACGACTGCATACCATGTACACCTCATAGAAGAAGGTCACACTTTGGCTCTTCCCAAATGATTAGGATGATGGAGTGGCTTTTGAAGTGTGAAGTTTGAGCTTCATTACGACCCTGAAAAGGACTCATCAGATATGACTGTGAATTACAGTGAAATGAGATGGAATCAGCATGGTTAATGATAGGTAAGAAAGCCAGCAGCACCCAAATATCTCTGTAGAAATTACTGCTAAAACAGGGAAGCATTTTTATTTTTGTCAATGCTTAGGAAAAAAAGGGGGAAAAAGGCCAATAGAGTGAAATTTGTGTTATTAAATATAACAGATGCTCAGATGATCAGAAATGATAAGTTACTTCATATGTTGCTTAGTTATCTGAATAGGTTTCAGGGAAAGTTCCTGATTTTGAAGTGGGGCTCTTTTGAACTGTTAGTGCTCACACTGCTTTCATGTTCTGTTCTGGGTACTATAATAAGAGTATTAAGAGTTTTATTTCATGATATTATTTGAACCAACTAATCTGGGTTCATCATAAATAAAAAAAAAACAAGACAATTAATAAACTGTACATTCAGTTTTGTTGGGTCAGCTTGTACCAATCTAAAATAAAGTATGATGAATCTATTATGCAGGGCTTTACCAACCCACCTGTTTATTGTTAATCACTTAGAATCAATTTGCATCTGCAGCTGGTGTGATTTGCTGGCTCCCAAACTTATATTTTGCAAAGCTACTTTTCTATTTGGACTCCACTCAACTCGATACAGCATGCTTGCAGAGCCAACAGGAAGAGGTGATGACTCAAAGTGACAGCTAAAATGGCAATTGTAATTAAAGGCTCTGATTAAAAGTACATTACTGATCACTAGTAAAAGACAGAGACAGGGACGTAACACTATTTATTTCTAATGGGGACTGATTTAGTGTCAAATGGGAACAGTTCATTCCATTAAAAGTTTTTTTATTAGAAGACAGGGGAAACAGATATGATGCTTTAAGTGCAGCTGGTTAAAAGAGAAAACTTTAACAGCCAGAGACAATGCAGGATCTAAAAAATGCATCTAGAAAGTAATTCAGTATTTCCCTTGAGTGGTCATACAGTTGTCCACTGCATATCTCCTTTCCTGCATGCCTCCACATCCCAGCAGTGTTAGCCAAGACATTTCATTGCATTCTTTTGTTGCAATTCATCCACCCATTGCACCTAGATTGGACAGGAGTGCAGGAGGTGGATTGTGATTTAGTAGCGGAGTGAGGCAGCAAGCCGAGGGCCACAGCTCAGCTTTATCAGCGGTGCTTCATCTTGCCGTGGGGGACATGAGAACTCATTTAGGGTGTGCCAGAGATGGCCTGGCAGCAGCTGATGTCATGGCTGAATTATTGTCATGCTGCAACTCCTCTATTTCTCTCTGTTTATCTGTGGGTGGGTACATACGCTTAGGTAGAGAACGGATGCAGTCAGGGGCGTGTCCAAATGCTGTGGTTACTTCAAACACTCAGTGATGTTGCAGTACCTGCCAGAAGATTACGGACACAGATAGGACTCATTAGTGTCAGTGTGATGTGTTTTCAAAAGTTTTTCTGAAAAAACTAAAAATTAAGTATACGACATTTTAAGCCTTCTAAACCACAAACTGATTATGCTATTTGGTCCTCCAGCTAACTGTGGGATCAATATGAGGACTGGTAATATAAACTGACTTTGCTGGTAGTTTTGGCATTCATGATTGCTGAGGTTGGGTAAAGTAGTCTTATATGATTGTTTAGCTAATAAAAGGTTCTCCTTGACAATTGAACTGTATGTCCTAATTTAGAGTAAAGCTAACTATTTCCATTCGGTTCAATTAGACAGTGTTGCTTGTTACCTCAGAAAGCATAACCAGCAACATACTGTATATCAGTCTTGTTGGTACAGAATTGTAGATTTATATGGGTTTAGTGAAGTGAACAGTTGGTTTTTGTCCCAGTGAATGCCAGCTTGGCTTGGAGAGACTTCCCTTCACTTCACATGGTTACTTCTGCATTGTTGAGGCTTTTTGACACATGACGGCTACCGCTGCTGTAATAGATAGCATCCCATGGCGTCATATATTCGGGATGTGATGCCTGATGAACATGCACAGCCATGACAGGAGGGGCAACAACTGCATTGTAACTAAAAGTTCTGACTGTATATGGATAGGCCTACTGTAAAATCTGTCCTGATGCTATACATGTTTGAGGCATTGACATGCTGGGATGTAGCATTCATTTCAATGAAATACCCCCACTTCAAAGCTATAAGATAGCAGTAGTTTTCACACAATATCCCTTTAATACAGTTTCAAACCTCACACCGAGCCATAGCTCTGTTGAGCTTTTTATTCCAATAATGGTTTTATCGGACTCTCTACACATAAGATTCTATTTTTAAAATCACTCGCATCTTTCCAAATATGAATACCGTATACTTAGAAAGTTAGAAAGTATTTAAAGTAACTATATATCCTGAATTGTGTTCAGTTTGTTATGATTCATTTCAGCTTTCTGAGCTATGTATATATTTAGTTTCATATTAGCCTTCAAATAACATGTTGAAGTCTAGGAAAATAATTTAAGGATGTTTTCTGTCTTTTAGCTGTAGGCTTAGACCCACGACTTTAGTGTGTTTGATGAGCCTCGATGGTGTCATTTGATGCTATCTCTGGGCTCAAAGTATACTTTAAGTGAGCGGTACTGTGTGTTACTGAGTGAGAAAAGAGGTGAGCAACAGACATGCCTTTATTTTGAAATGCTCATCTGTAGAATTAAAATCTTATTAGCAAAATACACTAAATGTATATATATATATATATATATATATATATATATATATATATATAGTTATGTATAAAAGTACAATGTTCTCACCTCAAATGATCTTAAAACATACTTTTATTGAACAACAGCAAAAAAAAGACTTAGACAGATTTATTTTATCATTTTATATACACAAGTGTAAACAAAAATAAATTTTGTTTAGAACAGCTCTCTAGACAATTTGATTTTTAAAGTGCAGCCTTGATAAGGTAAGCAGCAGTTGTTGTTGAGCTGCTACTACTGCCTCCAGCTCCTGAAGCACTCGGTTCTACTGGCTCAGATGAGGAAGAGGGCGATGATGATGATGCTGTGAGGATGGTAGCCCCCTGGGTTTAAGAGGCTGACATGGTTGAAGCAGCAGTGGTGCCATCGGCAGGTTTTTGTTGCTGTTGTTTAATAAAAGTATGTTTTAAGATCATTTGAGGTGAGAACATTTTACTTTTATACATAACTATATGGGCCATTTACTGATTTAATGCGTCATTTAAAATAAGATTTCTAAAGTTGAGAGACTGCAGCAACCAGCGGGCAGCCAGGTCTAATCCTAGTCCATCTGTAGCAGCCCTCTCTCAGCATAGACGTGTGAAATACTATTAAAATAATATTGTTTTATTTGGCAAAATGTTCATTTGATTTGTGTTTATCTGACTGTGTTCATTATTATTCCCCCCCTAAATGAAAAAAGAAAGAATATTTTATTATCTAGAGACTATTAATAACAGGAGGTGAAATGCGGCTCCAGACATGCTGAGCGTTTGGTGATGTCATCAGTACGCTTCTGTTCCAATTGACCCATATTTATGCTGCGTTCTCCCGTTCTCCCCAAGTCCACACTTTCCTGTGTTCTTCTCTAGAAAATACATGGTGAGAACACGAGTCTGTACCGGCGTCCTAGTGAACTGAGAAACGGCCATGGTGTTTCAGTTATTTTAGAATAGCGCCTTATAAACATTAGTAACACACAAGGTTCCTGGCAGGGGGGAGTGATTTTATCTCGATGCTTTTGTATTAGAAGAAATGGGGTTGTGTATTGAAAGGCATTTTTTAAAACTCCTTTCGTTCTTGGGGTCAATTTGATCCCATTTAATGTTTATCATTTAAAAAATAGTTAAGATTTTTTTTTGCTTCATCTTTCGTGACTTTTCCTAATTCGATGGGGACAACTGATAAAGCATAACTTTTTTTTATTTATATTTATTCTATGTGCTGAACACATACTGCATGTCATTTTTAGGGGAAGAGCAATATTTAAGCATCCCTATCTCTGAAGACATTCCATATTTTGTCTCGTGTCATACGCTTTGATGACAAAGAAACTAAACAAAAATAAAAAAAAACTCTGTAACTCTGCATCTGCCGAGGCCCAAGCCGCCCAAGATAACAGAAGAGGAGGGGTGAGTGAGATCTTACAGAAACTAGCAACTACAAAATATGTAATAATATATTTAAACTAGAGGGCAGGTCAACTCACTGATTTCAAAGGGTTATTTATATATATTTCTTTAAGTACAGTATGGTCATTCAATATTTCCCCACATTTCTTGGCTGGTCCCCTACTATTCCTTTTTAAACAAACAATCTTTGTACTGAAATTGTCATGTTGGGATTTAATCTTCTAACCCACATGCAGAATCAACTCAGTTAAAATTTGGAAAAAGGGATTTATTGACAAAACAAAGAGAAACAGACATTTCTTGTTCCTTCAGGAGTCTGAGGAGGTTACGTGAATGGTGGCGTTTCAGAATACTCTGAGCGAGCCGTGGAGGGAATATGTTCTGGGTCCCGTGTGGGGAGGCTGGTGGTTTCCTTCTGATAGTGCAAGATGGTTGGAAATACAGAGATTTGATGGAGTCAGGTGGGAAATGATTGCTGGTGGAGTGGGCAGGCAGTTAACTTGCTGGTAAATCCACTGGAAGGTGAGTCGGTGAACTGAGTCCTCTGAAACAAAGCGCCAGAAAAACTGGTAAATGAAAATCGTCCAGCGCTGAGTGAAGTCTCTGCTGCACTTTTTATCCCAGCACTCTGATGAAGCTGACAAGCTCCACCTGTGTAGGCAACACAGGTACTCCACCAAGATCCTCTCAGGAGAAAAGGCATCACTCGCACTCACAAACACACACACACACACACACACACAGGAACCCTGACAGATACTGGCTCTGTTCTAATTCATGGGCTGTGTCCTTAGAAGGCTAGATTCGAAGGCCGATTATGTCATAGCGTGGAGCCGAGGTCTGGTCGGATTCCAAGACTCCTCGTTATGCGGCCTTAAAATGCGTCCTTCCGTTTGCCCGATTTGAAGGATGGGTCCGATGCATCCTCGCTATCCTTGGATATCCCATGATGCATTGCGAGACCAAGCAAGCCGGCTGCTCAATGATCAGAGGAAATGGTACTTAGTCCCAAACAGTGGTGAATATTGGAAGTTCAGTTTAATATAATCCAAGTATGAGAATAGTTCCGTCTGAAATGTATGAAAATTGCTAATTTAATGGTTATAGAGTCAGATATGTGGCGAATAATGTTTGATTTATCTAAAGGTTTTATCTGTTACTGTGTATATGGGTTTGGTGTTACCTGGATATAACCTAACCAAATATCTTTAGAACAGCTCCAAATGACACAAAACTGATATGGGTGAGTAGAACATGATGTAATAACGTAAAATCAAGGGCCCAATGTAAAAACAAAAAGGTGTTCCCCTTTAAGGACTGATTCTAATATATCTGCAGTGTGGGAATTAAACATCTGATAGGATTCTTATTTTTTTATTGCTGTTTTTCATAATTTGTATAACTAAGTATTTTTTGTTGTTGAATATTAGAGATTTAGCAGATATATTTTTCATACATATGTTGTTTAGATTTACTTATGTCTTTCTACCCCTTTGATAGAACAGAAAAGAAAATCTCTTTAATGTCCCACAATGGGCAAATTTACTGCAGCAGAAAGATTAATGAAAATGGTCACACAAATGTGGACCTTAGAAAAATGTATAAGAATAACATAATAAGGAAGAGTTCAAATATGACCAATAATGTTTTATTGCTCACTGACTGGCAGTTAAACAGGTTCTTTAGTTTTTACATAAAAACATGAGAAATGTGGAAAAATAGTTGCAGTTTTAATAAAAAATAAAAAACAATGTTCTAATTCTAATATTTATAATTATACTCTTCAATGTCAGGCTTCTTTTGGAAACCTTAAAAAAACAGTTAGTTAAATTTGAAAACAACTTGAGAACCAAAACACAGTTTCGCCGATAAAAAGTGTAATACATAAATTTTATTCTTCTCAAAAACTTCCATATAGGTTAGTGTAACAGTTTGTCTACAAAAAATAAATAAAAGTCATACCTCCTAAAACCTAAAAAGCTTATTTATACTTGATAGAATAATTGTGAGTTTAGTCTATCAAACAGGCTGCATGTAGGGATTATAAAGGTCCAGAAGGTTTGTTTGTTTTTGTGAGACAGAGAAGATTGAAAAAACAAACTGATTATTTGAAATTTGTCACCATATTCTCTGATAATTATTTGCTAAAGTAACATTTTATTCAGGGGAGAGAGAACTTATTTAAATAAAATTAGGAGCTTACTAAAAAGTTTTCCAATAGTAAAGGGTTGAGGGGAATTACTTTTATGTCTTTAGAATCAATACCATATGTTAGCATAAGGTCCAAGGCATGAAGAAGACAATGTGTGGATCTTTGCACAATTTTAACAAGGTAAGTTAAATCTAAGATAACTAAAGACTTAGATAGGGAAATACTTATTATAACGTATTACTTCTAAGTAAAAAAACTCAAACTTTTCCTCTAATTTTGGAAGCACTACTCATGTTGGTATTTCAGAATAAAGTTTAATGTTTTTAGATCACATCATTATTTTTCTTTTATTCTTCTTAGGAACAAATAAGCTTTTAAACAAAACACACAAAGCTTGATATGATTGTTGTTTGGTAAAATTAAAAGCAAGTTAAATGCTTTATGAAACCTATCCCACCAAGTTTAATATAAAAACATCATATGAAGACCAAATATTTTTTCGTACTTAAATGAGGAGACCAGGCATTGCATCACAGTTTGTTGTGTAATGTTTATAATTGGATATACAGGACTTCTCTAACTTATCCCAACCTGTTTATTATATCAACATCTAAAACAGATTATAAATCTCTATTATCTTTTTTTTAGCTCTAAAATAAATATATTTAGCTTAGAAAAAGGAGCCAAAAAGGAAATAATTTACTAACTTTGTCAGAAATATGTTTATATGAACTAGTAAAGACACGTTTATTGATACACACAATATCATATCACATGATTCATTGGCCCTTAAAAACAAAACAAAGAAAAAAAACCCAGACACCATAAACTGTATAACAATCAATACATATATTAAGACCTGTATAAGAATATTTTAAAACAACAATAATAAAAGAAATACATATAAATATATAATTTAAAAAGCAACTACTAAATAATTCTTTAACTAAAGGCTTGAGACATTAACCTATGATGTTGCAGAAGAGACTTCCAGAGAAGTGGACCATTATGATATGAACTACTGCAGGTTAGAATAGAATCACATGGATTTTGTTTCACCAACTGAAAATGGAGGGACTTTCCTCATGTTTTTCTCTTTGGTTCCTTTTTAAAAACCTTCCCATCCATCTCAGTCCAGCGAAGTTTGAAGTCTGTTAAACCGTTGGCCTCCATTTTAGCGTGCAGCTAAAAGCAGAAAAAACAAAACCCATTTTATGTTGTCATATTATAACACAGATTGTTCTGTTGATTGGCTTTCATTATTGCATATATGATACAGGGCAACGCCATGGTCCTTGGTTTAATTCTACCCATTATGGTCTTGTGAGCTGCTCTTAGTCTGACCTGTCACCTAGGACCTTGTTTCCACGGGAGACCCTAACAGGGGCATAAAGCCCCAGACAACATAGCTACTAGGATCATTCGGGCACTCAAACAACCCCACCACGTTAAGGTGGCAGCTCCTGGGGGTGTCAGAAATCTCTTATCTTTTGTAAATAACAGTTCAAATAAGTAAATGAATAAATATAATGTTCAAAAACACAAAAGTGGTTTATATGAACACATTATATTTACATACATTTTTACTCTATAATCAGAGTCACTCTAGCTAAATATATATGGGAACAGTTTGCCAGTGGGTGTGTCATAGGGGAGGGTCTTTGTCGCGGACAACCATAGGGGGATCTACTGGGGTGGCATAGGGTGGCAAATGCCACCCTAAATGACAGCCTTGCCACCTCTGCTGCCACCCCAGTTGGCGTTAGGGGTGGCGAGGCTTATAAATTATGGATAATTTGAGAATTACGTCCGCTAATTTCCAATGACGGACTGCAGTGAATGCAGCACGAGATGACGCGAGAGCGACTGAGACTGATTTGTTTTGAAAACCGAATAGGGCAAAGCGAGGGAGCCAGGGGTTAATGGGGAGAGGAGACACGGGATGAAACAGGTAAAAATCTTAGTGTCTATTTTAAAGACTTCAATTGAATAAATATGAGCTAGTAGGACACTTTAAGTAGAATGTCTTTCTATAATAATCTACTCCTTTGTAGTTCCTTCTCAGAATGGTCAATCAAGATTGATTTGGGAATTTGCCACAGCTCTATAGACATATTATGTGTTATGTGTAATCGGTTAAGTAACACTCTGTTCAAACATATAATTCATTGTACTATCCCTATATATATATATATATATATATATATATATATATATATATATATATATATATATATATATATATATATATATATATATATATATATGTATGTATTCATAAAATTTTTTACAAGCAGTTCTATTTTAACTTTCTGAGTTCAATAAACAGGGATTGAAATTATAATAGTTTTACACAGTTGTGGTGCAGATAGTTGTTTAAGGAAGCTGCACATATTGATTGCTCAAAATTTCTCAACAGAACCCATATTTAACAAGCTATTTACTGTACCTTTGAATTTTTTTAAAAGTATTGTTCACATTTCACGAAAAAGGAAAAAAAAAAGTTGTAGTCAAATCGAGGGTTACTACCTGCTCTAAAATCTGCTGCTGGATGTTAGGGTCGGTCAGGTCGGCCTCAGACTGGAACCGCAACTTTAACCTCTTGTTGGTAATCGGTTTCTGACAAATAAACTCGTGCTCTTCATTACAGTCAACATCACACCATGTTCCTGTGTCTGTTTTGACCGCAGCACAGGAAGTTGAGACGTCGTCAGGCTGGCCAGCTTCCCAATTTTTAAAGGTAGCCAGACGTCCATCAGACCACTTAGCCCAGAGGTTTCGGTAAAGACCGATCCAGTGATGCGTTTCGATCAGTGCGTGGATTTTGTTGTTCTCAGACAAGTTCCACACTCTGAGAAGATCTGTATGTTTGGACCTACAGTAGTTCTTAGCATCTTCCCAAACCATAGATGTTTCAACTACGATGTATGTAGAAGCAGCTTTTTCTAAAGGACAAAGAGGAAAATAGAGTAAATACAACTTTCACTCGTTCTATTCTTAAATTTTTTTAATTTCTTCTACAGCCTCACTTAAAAATGATATTTCTTTATTAGCTGTTGGTTAAAAAAATACATATTTGATGTAGTAAAAAAATCATCTTACCATCAATGCAGATAAAAGGGTGCTTTACCTCACAGGAGAAATCCCACCAACCTCCGTGAAGATTTATCGCAATGCAGCTCCCATTGCCCTGTGTGTTGTCTGGCTGATGTTGCCAGGGTGGAAAACCATCTTTCGTTTCTATATTAAAGTCGGCATCCCCCATGGTCCACTTCCAACTCGTGGTGTTATCATAAAGCCCAATCCAAGCAAACTTTCCAGTTTCCTGCAGGACGGTGATCAACCTATTGTTTTCCTCTGAGCTGCTTACTGTAGCCAGGTCGCCGTCGTACATCTCTCTGCAGTGCTGCTGAGCTTTGGCCCAAGTCTTTGGGATGTTCACATAGTGGTACTCTGGATACAGGTCTATACACAGAACATAAACCCCTGATGGCCGAAGCATAATAACAAGTTTATCCCAGAATAATATCGATATATATCTACAAAAAAAGGTTTCATTTTCCTCTTAACAGAAACTCACATGAGAAGGTGAAAACAAGAAGCAGAGTCTTCCTCATCCTGTAAATCTATTAAAATGAATAGATTTATAAATAAAATGCAGATATTTAATATGTAAATATATTAAATTAAATCTTATTTATTAAGAGGTTGACACAAACTTCATTTTATTTTTAATTAAACTCAAATGTAAAATGCACCAAAAAAAAAAAAAATCTACACAGAATTTTAATACTGATTTTTTACAAAGATTATTTTTGACAGTAATATTATATTTGACTTCCCACATTTCCTTAGTTAAAATGAGTTTATCAGTGAGTTAAAGTTCAAGTTAAAATTCTTGTCTTTTCTTTTCTTCTAAGTTCTAATTATCTGATTTGTATATAACTCAGTAACCAGTAATGTTAAAATAAGAACCATTTGGTTGGCTCACCTGGTCTCTTCTCTCTTTCCGTTGCCCTCCTTGAATCTTTGATTAAAAAGATCTCAAAGCTTCGAATTTTCTAACCTTTGTTCTTTAACTCCACCTTCTCATTCAGTAGCTATGCAAAGCCAGTAATTTACTGATTTGTCATTTAAAACAGGAAGTAAACACAAACAAATGATCTGTCTAAAACGAAGTTATTAACCTTGCACTGCCATTTGGAAAAAATATCAGAATGAAGACATTTAATGGTTTTCACAGTTTTCTTTGTACATGATGGGTTTGTAGTTTATAGTCCTCTATTTTTAAATCATGGATTTAGCAAAAATGTATAGTTTAATAGTAAATAAACTGAGCATAGAGTAAATTATAGGAGTGAAAACATGTCCCTCTGGTGCTCTCCATTAAGGGATGCAATTTGAAAATTTAAAAAAAGGCACTCAGGAGGAAAGCTGTTAAAAGCCTTTATTAGTGCATGGCTACTATGATTAAAAACATGGCAACACGTTTCGTCTGGAAGGGCCTTCGTCAGGGCAATGGGAAAAAGATTGCTTTTGTCTAATCTGGTTTCATGTCCTTGCCATGGCTGAAAGATAAGGACTCTGCTGACCTCTTCGAAGAGATGCTTTTATATGGATTGTTAGAAAAACAATAGCACCCATAGAGTGGTTTAAAAACAAATTTGTTTTTCAAATTTCTGTTTATATAGGAAAAAAGCCAGTTTCTGATATATGTTAATTAGTTAAAGAAAAGAAATGGCTTTCTAAAGCAACACTTCTTGAGGGAAAGTATTTCTCCCTAATCATGTTTGCAATGGACACTAGTTAGTATAGTTCCATTTTCCACAAGAAAATTAATTGTTCTATTACTTAAACAAATTTGTCCTAAAAGCCCTAATCAGTCCCCAGACTATCACACTACCAACACTCTTCCTTATTTTCTGTATATTTTACAGATGCAAAGATATTCCCACCTTTTACAGTAGATATTATCACTTTTCCTTCTAATCCGCAAAATATTCTTTCCAAAGTTCATCTTGCCAAACCCTAATCTGAGCAATCACGCCACACCCCTCTTTGAAATCTCTATCATCAGGCTTAGTATTTATCCAGAAGCCTAAATCTCCATTACTGTTAAAGATTTCATCTTTCCTTACCCACGTTCATCTTGTTGCATCATCATGAAGACTGATCTAGGTAACTTTTCACTTATAGAAACAGCTCTTGGTTTTCTTGTAGATTGTATACGGTGGCTAGGTCTGTAAAAAAACTCTAAAGAATTGCTGAAGTAGCGCTCCCCGTCTACTACCATATGAAGACCATATGGTGGTACTCTCATAAAACATATGCAGATAAAAGATAAACTTCTGCTGGTGTTATGCTTGGTTTGTCACCATGATCAAAATAATCCTAAAGAGGATTTGCATGATTTTATTCCGATAATCCCTCCTAGTCTCCTTTACTTATACATAGGCGGCAATATTAATAATTTCCTGCTCTCCTTTAAACAGGATGTATCCTTAAAAATAAAAAAAATTAATCATGAGTTTATATTGGGAAAATATCTGCTTTATTGTTAGAACAAGTATATGGTTGTCTTTTATTTATTTTTATTTTTTATTAATCCATTCAACCATAGCACTACCTGTCCTTAGTGAGTGGGGTTGCCTGGTCATCAGACCAATCAACCCAGGGAACATAGAGGCGCACAGGACAGATAGCCGCCACTATACAAACAGACTTCTATGTAAGGGTTGTTTATAGAGCCCAGTGATTCTAAAGAGGAAGATGACTTGTTACACCTCTTGCATTCAAACTCTACATGATTGGATCTGGTTTCTTAAAATAAAAATGCAGGATCCAACAAAAGAGCCTATTGAAGGACTACTGAGATCAGTTATTCAAATGAGAACATGCACCAGAAATCCCCAAACTCCTGCTCTATCCTAGTGAGACGAGCAGTTCCATAGCATCGTTAATGGTGTGCATGGTCCCATTCAATAGGCTGTAATTGCTACAGGCATTATACAACACAATTCTTTGTCTGATTGTATGCAAAAATATGATCCAGGGTAGTGATCATGATTTTATCGTGTAGGATTAATCTGGAGAGAATCCCAGAATGTACATGGAAAACAAACAACCTCAAAATTTAAATCTTGAATCTAATAATTTAACGTGTTTCTGTGACTTCTGAGTACAATGCAATCCAAACCATCAGTTCTTTGAAAAGGACTTAACCTGGTATTGGAGTTCCTCACTTCTCAGTTCAAATAAGGAATGTGCTTTTCCAAAGATCTTCACTCAAAATCTCATGTTTTTTTTTTTTTTTTGCTTTGGCCACTGATCATGATCATCGCTTCAGCAATTCTGCTGTAATTATGCAAAATCAACTCTCCTGCCTCCTTTGCTGTGTGAAAATATCTCCCGATTCCCATTTCCATGCTTCAATAAGGTGGTGAAATGAGGCGTGTGACCTTCCGCTCCAGGGTTGTTTAGATCATAATGTAAGCAAACTAAGGGAGACGGACAGGTGCAGAACCCTCTAATGCACTAGGTTAAATGACAACTATTGTATTAAATGTATTGTCTTTGAGGAGCGCTGGAAAGAAATGTATATCACCTGTTTGACTTCAGCCATTTCTCCAAAAGGGTTTAAAGGAAAAGTACTCCTAAAAATCCTTGTCCCAGGTAACACGGATCTTTAGTAATTAACCATCATGTCATGCCCCATTACCTATTATTAATTGTATGATCAACACAGGAGTTTAATATTCATACCTTAGCCAGGAGACATGGAGCGTTACACTGTTTGACTTTTCTCAACCTCAAAAGTGAAAAGTGGGATTAAATAGATGAACACAGACGACGTCCACAATCATTTCAGTTATAAGGAATCTTAAGCATTGAAGGCTTTGCTCTCTAACCAGTTAACCATGATGTTGCTCAGAGTGACCACTGATACCCAGAAAAATAAATCACGATCCCAAAAACTCCAGAATTAACGGATTGCGCCGTCAATAACCATTTAGGATCCTAATAAATACACTGAATTACATTTTTATGAGGATTTAGGAAATTAATTAAAAATGGTCACACAATATGATCAATAATATTTTATTTATTAGACAACTCTACAATTAATTTTACCAAACACCACTCAAACATTTTGTTTCACACAACAAACAATAATTCAAGAGGCACCAGCATGTCCTTAGACCAAAAACAGGAACATTTATTATTGCATTTATTAGCAATTTTTTAATATCAGGTGTATAATTTTTATTATGGAGTTTATAGCATGTTAAGTAATTTACAGAGCATGTGTAAAGCTGAAAAAAAAATTCAAGAGAGAAATTAACCCTAGTTATGATAACATGCAGGCTAAGACATAGAGTGCTACACTTACTTAAAAATATCAAGACCTCAAACTATTCAAAACTTCACCCTGCTAATGTTTCCAACCTTCAAAACAGAGTGGAGCAGAAGAAAAAGTTTTAGTTTTATAAATGTAGATTTACACACAGAGATTTTGAGAGCCAAAACTTTATTCAACTATTGTCACCCATTCCAGGTAGGCAATAAAAAGTTCTACTGGATTCACTTTTTATTAGTCTGTTTCCTGCTTCACAAAGGTAGGCAGCAGCTTGACAAAGACATTATGGCAATAATTTTACATCCAAGTAGTATGCAGTTGTATATATATACAAACAGATGGTATCGGCTGATATTGCACTGCCGTGTATGGGGTATCGGTATCAGGGCCAAAAAATGGCACCGGTGCAACACTAGTTTCTACACAAAGGTTTTGAGTATTTCATCTAAGAAGTGAATATAATTTTGACTTGATAATTTCACTTTTTAAAAGGGTGAGCTTTCCTCAGGTGTTTTGGGATTTTTTCTTGTGAAAAACTTGTCCACCTTTCTCAACCCAGCGGAGTTTGAAGTCTGTAATTCCATCCGTCTCCAGTTTAGAGTGCAGCTAAAGGAAAGAATGGAGAAAAAAAAAAGGTTATTAATTTGGGGTTTTAATTTTATTAATTACAATTTGGTTTATCAGCTTGACTCTTTAATCAATAACTGTCCTGTCTTTATTTTATGCAAATGTGTGGGGGTTTTTTTGTCAAGTAAATTTGACGCTTAAAGAGAGTCATAACTATAACAACAGAGCTAAGATGCTAAAGCAGTTTAAATGATTTTTTCTTCTGTAGCTCTACTCAGCAGTCATGGAAGCACTTTGATTTGGAAAGATTAAGAAATTCTGTTTGCTATGGGATGTTTCATAGGAGAAGGCCATTGCTACAAAGGGACATCTCAAGTTCTGATGTAAATAATACAGGATTCTGTGTGAATAACCAGATAAAATAAATGTGTCAATGGGTACAATATTTATACAGTATGACCAGGTTGTCTACATCCAGTCCAAAGTAGAGACTGACACGGGAGTGGATTTTCACTCCTGTCCCGTCCCACTCCCACAGAAAAAAATGGTGTCCCGTCCCGATCCCGGGCCAGAGTAGAAATCTAAATCCTGTCCCGTCCCACTCCTGGTGAAATTACTCCCACTCCCATCCCGCTCCCATTCAGAATGACTCCCGCTCCCGCACCACTCCCATTCTTGTTGTTTTTGAGCGCGGGTGAAAAACTCAGAGCGGAAGTTACTATTGGTTTGCTCCCACTCCCGTCTGCTCCCGTTATTGTTTAATCCTGTACCATCCCAATCCCGTGATCGTTACTAATACTGACTCCCATCCCACGGGAATCCCACGGGAATCCCGTGACCCGTGGGATTCCCGAAAAAATGTCAGTCTCTAGTCCAAAGAGAAGATTTCTATTAAAATCCTTTGTTTTGATGTCTTTGCAGGGGACACAGGTCATGTCACTACCCGATTTGCACCGGAAGCACAATCTGTACCATCAGCTAATCTGTGCATGCACCACCAGAATGGGATCCAGGTCCCCATTAAATAATGAAATTGGATAATGAAAGTACTTAATTGTATGGAATAATAATGGCTTTGCTCTGTAAATGGATGTATTCAAATCAATTCTGTTTTATTTTCTGTCTGTCATCATAATCATGTATGTAGCAGTCTGGGATATGGAAACATGATTTCACCTTGTTTATCTGTATTTTAGTGGTATAGTTCTTAGATCATGCACTATAGCAGTACACTGAGATGCAGATATAAAACCAAAATTGGCTGAAATTATTTACAACTTATAGCTGAAAATGGAGCTGCCTGAAATAGGATAGGGACTCTAGGACAGAGAATTATATAACAGAAAGGATGTAAAAACATTTATTTTCTCAGCATAGCTTTTATTAAGATTTCACGTAATATAGTTTAGTATGCAGATTTGAGCAGATCAGCAGATTTATTCTGCATACAGAATGGCTTTTTTCATTGAGGTGGACAACGTGTAAACATTCATGCATGTCTACATATTAGTGCATTCAATTGTGGGTAATTGTGGAAAACTTTGGCAGTGATGTAGGGTCTTATAAATAGAAGAAATTGTTGGAGGTTTGGCAGTGGAGCAGGAGTAAAGTGTCCATGCCTTGGTCCTTAACACAGCCATCAAAGGTTCTGGTTCTGCCCTGTTGGGTTTTGTCTTCCCCTCTCTAATTAAACCCAATTTTAAGTTCATATAGAAGCCAGTAGTGCCAAAAAGGTCTGGTTTAAGAAAAATGAGGTAGATGGAGGGAGTGCATTTGCAGCAACTGAGCTGCTAGCTGATGATGAGGTATGGTTTATCAGCCAGCTTATAGTGGGGAATCAGTTAGGAGCTCTGCACAGAGATGACCCCAGCCTCAGAGAGGGTGCTGTTGCTCAAAACTTTCCAAGAGAACTTTTCTTTAAAAAACTGCTATATAACTTTAGGTCAACTGAACTTTTGTGTTAAATGTCTCAAGGAAGAGAGAAAAAGTGAATTTATAGTGAAATTAAGGCTTGTACTGTACCTGCTCTAAAATCTGCTGCTGGATATGAGGGTCAGTCAAGTCAGCCTCAGACTGGAAGCTCAGCTTTATCCTCCTTCTTGGTGGGATCAGAGTCTGACAAATAAACTCGTGCTCTTCACTGCAGTCAACATCCCACCATTTTCCTGTGTCCGTTTTGACTGCAGCACAGGAAGTCATGTTGGTGCTGCCGCTGTTGTCAGGCTGGCCTACCTCCCAGTTTGTGAAGGTAACTGGGCTTTGGTCAGACCAGTTAGCCCAGAGATCTCTGTAAAGGCCCATCCAATGGTTAATTCCAAGCATGGGATGAATTTCGTTGTTCTGAGACATGTTCCACACTCTGACAAGATCAGTGTGTTCAGATCGACAGTAATTCTTAGCATCTTCCCAAGTTTTTAGAATGTTTACTGGAATGTATTTAGAAGCAGCTTTTTCTGATGGTAAAAAAAAAGAGGGAAATAGTGAGAATCCAATTTTCAGACATTTTCTACTGTGAAATTACTATTTTCCCCTATTTTTCCTATTTTGATATTTGAAGGTTTCATTCACAGTAATGCTGGAAACAAAATATTTGGTTTGGTAAGATTCATCTTACCATCAAAGCAGATAAATCTGCGCTCTGTTTCACAGTCCTCATCTCTCCATCCCCCAATATAGTTCATGACGATGCAGCTCTGCTTTGCATTTGCATTGTCAGGCTGGTTTTTTTCCCAGGGTGGGAAACCGTTTTCACCGACAAAGTCAAAGTCATCCTCTCCCATCGTCCACTTCCAACCGGTGATGTTATCATAAAGGCCGATCCAAGCAAACTTTCCAGGTTCCTGCAGGGCAGTGAATAATCTGCTGCTTTCTTCAATGCTGTCTACAGTGGCCAGATCACCATACACCTCTCTACAGTACTGCTGAGCTTTGGCCCACGTCTTTGGGATGTTCACATAGTGGTAATCCCGGAACAGGTTTGTAGACAGAACATAAACCCCTGATAGATAAGAGAATGTTTTGAACCAATCAGAAAAACAAAACAATAAAAACTTTAAGTTCACACATCTACGGTGCCAAAAGCACTGAATTAAATTATCTGATGATCATTAAAACCAACCCAATCCACTTTATTTATGTAGCATATATCATATATATATATATATATATATATATATATATATATATATATATATATATATGTATATATATGATATATATATATATATATATATATTTATATATATATATATATATATATAGATATATATATATAAATATCTATATAGATATATATATATCTATATATATATATATATATTTAGATATATATATATATATATATATATATATATATATATATAGATATATATATCTATATATATATATATATATATATATATATATATATATATCTATATATATATATATATATATATATATATATATATATATATATATATATATATATATATATATATAGATATATATATATAAATATCTATATAGATATATATATATCTATATATATATATATATATTTATATATATATATATATATATATATATATATATATATAGATATATATATATATATATATATATATAGATATATATATATCTATATATATATATATATATATATATATATATATATTTTTTTTTTTTTTTTTTTTTACAGTGTCCTGTCTGGCAATGTGGAAATAAGAATAATTGTTTTGATGCCAAAAAGAGCCCAACAGATTTTACTTTCACAAGTGTAGCAGTATAGCAATTGCCATATTGCTCCACTTCTTTCATGCATATAAATTGCTTTATTATAATTATGAGTTTTTCAGTTTATATGGACACTGCAATGTAAATACAGCAGAAAAACAGAAGAAGAAAAGGAAAAAAGAAAAAAAGAGAAAAGATGAAAGAAAGAGGAGAAAGAAAGGAGACAATGACAAAACATTTTCAGTCTGCTTCATCACCTGTAACGAGATGAAAAAAGAACAGCACAACCAAAAGACACGGTACGAGACATACAATAAAGCAACACCTTGAAACTATCGCTAAAGTAATATTATTAAGTCTGACATGTACTCTGTGTTCCCTGAAGATATGAATGTGGGGTTTCTGTTTGGAAGTGAATTTCTGAGTACCTGGAGCCAAGCACCTGTAATTGTTTGTGAGGGTGAACTTGTGCATGTAAAGTTTATCCATAGAAAAAATGCTCAATAGTGGTTGTGAAGAGCTGAAGAGGCACACCCCCCAGAGCACTGAGTCCAGCGACGGGGGACCCAAAGCCCCAGGCGCCCAAAGGGACCTCAAGAGCGAAGGCACCAAGGAGGGGCCAGCCCCGGAAATCTGACCCCCACCAAGGGAGGAGGAGAGACAGCCACGAAGAAGCCCCCCAGCCATCGCCATGCCGGTGCCTCGGGAGCCGCGGGAACGAGTCCGCGGGCCCAGCCGGCAGCCCGCCACTCCGAAGTAGGGCCAGGCGCCGAACACCGGCCCCCCCACGGCACCGTCCAAAATGCCCCGGCTCCACAGAGCACTGAAACACGCCCCACCCCCTGGCACCAAGCCTCGGCGACCGGCTGCAAAACCCATTTACCTTTATGTAGCACATTTAAACAACAAAACATTTCCAAAGTGCTGCATATGCAATAATGTAAGTATAAAACAATAAATATAAATAAAACAGTTTAAAACACTAAATACTATTAAAAAAATGCAAAGCGTCCAGCGATGGAATGGTGACCTATTCAGGGTGTACCCCGCCTCTTCGCCCGGACACAGCTGGAGGTAGGAATCAACGGAACATATATAGTGATTCTGCTTACACTGCTAAAATTATGCAATGCAATGCAAACCAATGGCAAATAACTGATTTTTGTGACCACATCCTATCAAACATGTTGCTCAGATGCACCACCTAGAAGAGGTTCTGACAAGACCGGAGCAGCTTGCTGTTGTGATGTGTAAGGTAATTCTTTTTTGCGTTGACACTTTCACAGGGTGGGTTGAAAAATCCCCCCACCTAATCTTTCAATAATGGGCAGTATTGGAGTGAAGCTGAGGACCTTTAATTAAACAGTCCAGATAGAAGCGGGATGGGTGCTTTTACTTTTTGGGAACATAAAATCCCAGAAGAGGACATTATGTGTTTTTCATTTAAAAGTAGTTTACTCTTCTCAATATGATTACATTAGAGTCTGATTAAACACTGCATGAATCACACTTCAAACTGGAACTGGACAAAGCGATACCATTTCTTACACATATGGCCAAGATACTGTGAGGAGCTCAGCTGATAAGCTGGGTTCACTTTCATAAGCAAGGATTGAGAGATTAAAAACTAATTAAGGTGTGAGCTGACCCTGGGTTTAAGCCTCCAGTTTTTATCCATTTTTATTTTTATCTGTGTATAAAATGCCGTTTGGAAACTGCCTGAGCACAAACTGATTAATTTGAATCTCTAATCAGTACTAACACTTGTCTTTCATTGTGCATCTGATGCTCACTTTCTTTGCATGACTTACTAAATTCTACTAATTTTTATGAATGCCATGATTTACTATTGACTAACTGATGAACTGTTCTATTGCCTTTCTTGGTGACAAACCTGAGAGGTCATTTATTTTTTCCCTGCTTGTAGAAAGTGACAATGAAGTTGTCGAAGGCCCAGTTCAGGAGAGCAAAAAGAAACCCAAAAGACTGTGGTGCAGAAATGTGTCTCCTTCAGACAATTTACCGTGAATTAAAATATATCAGACTGACCTGAAAAGGTGAGGACAAGCAAGAGTGTGTTCTTCATCCTGAAAAAGAAACATTCTCTTGAGCAAACTACTTTCAGAAGATAGCAATGAGCTTTTAAAATAGATCTTATTGAGAGTGCAATAGATTTTCTACTTCTGATGTTTAAACAATAGAAATAAAATGCACAGATTAATCAGTTAACATAAGTAACAGCTTAGATGTAATTATACCTTTCCCAGTGAAAAAGCTCCAGTTCTCGCTTCTCTTGCGTTGATGGTGGTTGTGATTAGAAGGACCTCCAACCATTAAGGAGACATTTGTTAGCTTCCTTTCATTCCTCTCCTCCTTTTTCTAGGTTGCCATGCAAAGTTTTTCTCCCTTATTGGATGTTATAACTCAGCAGATGCAAATCTAGCTGGTAAATGGAGCGTTTACCTTTGAACAGCAATATAATCAAAGCATATCAGGTTGTGCTATTAATTTACAAAAATGTACAGAGGTCACATTCATTTTCACTCAATATGTCAGTAACAGTTCTAGCTATCATGTTCTCTTGGCAGGATAATTACATTTTTTTGTGTGTATTTCACACTTAAAACTCAAAATATTTTTTTTTAAACTTCAATATAATAACTAAAATTAAAAAACTATGTTTAATTTAGAATTTGCAAGCTTGGCAGAATAAGCTAATAGTTGGCTCATTAGCCCTAATGGAATCTCTATTCCAACACTGTTGCAACATGCTCACTTTTATGGAGTTTAAGTAGGATTTTAACATTATTTAACAGGCTTTTATTTTGACTGCTGAGTACGAAGCAAACCTCACCATCAGTTCGTCATCACCATAACTAGACAGTGCCTTTTGGAAGTTTAAAGAATTTCTAACAGCCTGGTTATTGTCAGAAATACAACAGAATTATTACAAAAGATTAGAAATAAAAAAGGTTCTTTACAGAACAATGAAATGCTAACTGGGAGAAGTATCAATAAATATTTTTCTACTCCTGCTAGAACTTATTTTGTGTTCCAAGTTTTTTTTTTTTTTTTTACTCGAAACTGACTTCTAAGTTAAAATGAGGACCGGAGAGCACGTGGTTTTCCTAAGAGCTGCCTTCAACCAAATCTTCATTGCTTTTGCCACGGCTCCTCGTCATAGCTTCGGCAAATCTTCTGTAATTATGCAAAAATCAGCTCTCCTGCCTCATTTGTTATGTGAAAATAACTCAGATTTCCATTTCCATGCATCCATGAAAGCCATGGAAGCATGGAAATGGACGGAGGAATAAGGGAAATGAGGTGTGTGACGTTCTGCTTCAGGGTTGGTTACCACAATGCAGGGAAGCCTCCCACTTTTTATCTATCAACAAGTTTCAAGCATGATCCTTGCTGGGTGGTTGGCCTCTTCTTCCGTTCAAAATGTTTGGAGCTCGTCTTAATTGGTTGGTTTAGCCAGAACAGATCTGTTATTTTTTTAAGTACACATTATTATTTAACTGGGATGAGGTCTGGTCCGTTCTTCAAGTGTAAATTAAGCCCCAAATTGAAACCAGATATGATGTGCATTCAGGGTCAATGACGTACAGTATTGGAATACCCTGCAAATTTTAGCCATTTAAAAGACCCTCAGTAAGATGGTGTTACTACCAACCTTAATGGTGTCTGTTTTTAAATATTCAGTGTTTTTGAGAAACCACTACATATTTAAACAAATCATCTTCCATATGGTCAGTCTGGTTAGTAGCATATGTAACCTTTATATTCTCATACAAAATATAATTGTTTCCAGGCTATTCTTGCTAAGGCCTGTTAGGGTTAATAATAATAACTCTGTATTTTCTTAGAAATGAGACTAACACAAAGCAAGTTACTTTGCTGAAGAAAAGGAGAGTGTGTACTACTCCCTTCAAAGGACAGCACAAACAGGCTCTAACCAGAGTAGAAAAATAAGTGGGAGGCCGCGTTGCACAACTGAGCAAGAAGATAAGTACATTAGGGTCTCTAGTTTGAGAAACAGACGCCTCCCAGGTCCCAAACTGGCATCTTCATTAAATAGTACCTGCAGTAGCTTGTTTGTGCTGTCCTCTGAAGGGAGTAGTACACACTGTTGCAGGAAATCTTCAATTTCTCGCATAGAATAGTCTTTATTTCTAAGAACAAGAATAGACTGTTGAGTTTCAGATGAAAGTTCTCTTTTTCTGGCCATTTTACCGTTTAATTGACCCCACAAATGTGATGCTCCAGAAACTCAATCTGCTCAAAGGAAGGTCAGTTTTGTAGCTTCTGTAACAAGCTAAACTGTTTTCAGATGTGTGAACATGATTGCACAAGGGTTTCCTAATCATCAATTAGCCTTCTGAGCCAATGAGCAAACACATTGTACCATTAGAACACTGGAGTGATAGTTGCTGGAAATGGGCCTCTGTACACCTATGTAGATATTTCAGCACAAAACAGATATTTGCAGCTAGAATAGTCATTTACCACATTAGCAATGTATAGAGTGTATTTCTTTAAAGTTCAGACTAGTTTAAAGTTATCTTCATTGAAAAGTACAGTGCTTTTCCTTCAAAAATAAGGACATTTCAATATGACCCCAAACTGTTCAACGGTAGTATATATATATATATATATATATATATATATATATATATATATATATATATATATATATATATATATATATATATATATATATATATATATATATATATTCACCCCTGCCTGGTGAATTGTAAATCTGTTGAACCTGCCTTCTGTATGTCTTATCTCTGTATGTGGGTCAGAAGCCAGAACAAAACCATGACAAAGCAAACTAACTCCATACATGGCTCTTTCTAGGGAAAAAAATTTTAAGTATCTGAACGCAGATATATTCTAGATTAATTCAAAGATTTTAGTCACATTCATTGTTCTGTAGTTTGGTTTTTCTGTAGATCACTGGACACCCCAAACTAATAATTTCTACTAAGCAACAGACAAAGCTGATCAGAGATCAGAAAGCTGGAGCTAAAAAGATAAAATATAATGATTTTCCTGAAACAATTCTGTGTCAGTATGACTAAGATTTAGGGCTTTGATGGACATTTGACTTCAAGCAGGACAATGACTATTGAAGCAGGACTTATGTGGATTAAAGGAAAACATTTAATGTGTTTAGGATGGCCTAATCAAAGGCAAGACCTTAATGCAATTTCAAATGTGTGTTTGGACTTAATGAATGCTGGAAAAACAATTCAACATGAAAGAGCTGGAGTCATTTTAGTTCAAGAAATGATAAAAAAAAAAATCCCAGTGGCAAGATGTGGTAAGCTCAATGAGATTTAACCAAGAGGCTCTACAAATGACCAACGTTTTATTCATTTATCTTTTTAATGATGCAGTTATATTTTTTTCTGTTATTCTATCTTTTGTTTTTTTCCTTCACACACAAACACACAAAGCATCCTTCAGATTGTTGTCATATAAATGGATATAAAGGTATATATAGATATATAAAGGAATTGGTGCCAACTCTAGCACAATTCAGACAACGAAATATGAAAACAAGTGGAAAACACTTTTTACCACTTTTGGTGTGATAATAATAATCTTTTTATTATTATCACATCTTTTTTTCCTCGCTTGAAACTAAAGAAAATGTGGTTAAATTTAAATCTTGAATCTAATTTAAGCAGCCAGTAAGCATATTTCATTTATAATGTGAACATTTTGCAGGATAAGCTCATTGTTGGCTATGCAATAGCTATGGCTATCAACAGCACTTATAATGTCTCTACTTTCTTCCCTTCTCCAACACTGAGGCAGCCTCGTCAGTTGGAGAGGTTGAACAGCAGTAGGATTTTAATGGACATTTAACAAGTGTTTCTCTGACTTCTGAGTACAAAGCAATCCAAACCATCAGTTCTTCGAAAAGGACTAAACCTGGTGTTGGAGTTCCTCACTTCTCAGTTCAAATAAGGAATGTGCTTTTCCAAAGATCTTTACCCAAAAAATCATGTTTTTCTTTTTTTTTTTTGCTTTGGCCACTGATCCTGATCATCGCTTCAGCAATTCTGCTGTAATTATGCAAAAATCAACTCTCCTGCCTCCTTTGCTGTGTGAAAATATCTCCCGATTCCCATTTCCTTGCTTCAATAAGGTGGTGAAATGAGACGTGTGACCTTCCGCTCCAGGGTTGTTTAGATCACAATGTAAGCAAACTAAGAGAGGGGAGCAACTATTCTATGAAAATCAGACAAGCTATCAGACTGACTTGACTTGACTTCAGTCATTCCTCCAAACAACTTTAAAGGAAAAGTACTCCCCAAAATCCTTCTTTCTCTCTCTCTACCTGTATTCCTATAATACCAAACCCAGGTAAAACTGATCTTTAGTCATTAACATGCATGTCATGCCCCATTACCTATTATTATTTGTATGAACAACACAAGAGTTCAATATTCATACCTTAGGCAGGAGACATGGAGTGTTACACTGTTTGACTTTTCTCAACCTCAAAAGTGAAAAGTGGGATTAAATAGATGAACACAGACGACGTCCACAATCCTTTTAAATTATAAGGAATCTTAAGCATTGAAGGCTTTGCTCTCTGACCAGTTAACCATTACGTCACTCAGACTGACCACTGATACCCAGAAAAATAAATCATAAGAAATTTAAGAAATGAATTAAAAATGGTGACACGATATGATAAGGAATATTTTGTTTATCAGATAAATTTTCAATTAGTTTACCAAACACTACTCAAACATTTTGTGTCACTCAACAAAGAGTAATTCAAGAGGCACCACCGTGTCCTTAGACCAAAAACAGGAACATTTATTATTGCATTTATTAGCAACAAACCTTTAAAAATGCAAGAAAAAAAAAAAAAAAAAAAAGAAAAGAGAATTTTTTAATATCAGGTGTATAATTTTTAATATGGCGTTTATAGCATGTTAACTAATTTACAGAATATGTGTAAAGCAGAAAAAAAATCAAGAAAGAAATTAACCCTAGTTATGATGACATGCAGGCTAAGATAAAGAGTGCTACAAGTACTTAAAAATATTCAAGGCTTTAAACTATTCAAGACTTCGGCGTGCTAATTTTCCAACCTTCAAAGTAGAGTTGAGCAGAAGAAAAAGTTTTAGTTGTTTAAATCTAGATTTACACACATACACTATATACATATATGATCGTGAGTTCGACTCCCGGCATGGACATCAAGGTGGACCCTTGGGCATGGTCCTTAGTGCTTAGTGGCCTGCCTCAGGCATGAGTGAAACCGCAAATACAAGAGCCATACCGACTTGGACGTCGCCCGGGTTTACAAGGTCCTTGTCAGTTGCTAGGGAACCAGGGCAACTGAATGAGAAATGGGCTACTGGAACAAGACGTACATGGACTAGAAGAAGTGGTAATTGGAGCACTGGGGGCTGTGACCCCCAAACTGGGAGAGTGTCTACAGCAGATTCCAGGTAAAACATCAGAGGTCTCTGTCCAGAAGAGCGCAGTCCTAGGAACAGCTAAGATACTGCGCAGAACCCTCAAACTCCCAGGCCTCTGGTAGAGGACCCGAGCTTGAGGATGACACAAACCACCCCACGAGGGGTGTGAAAATAGTAGTTATATATACATATATATATATATATAAAACTACTATTTTTACACACACACACACACACACACATATATATATATATATATATATATATATATATATATATATATATATATATATATATGTGTGTGTGTGTGTGTGTGTGTGTGTGTGTGTTTGTGTGCAGCGAGAGAGATTGAGAAAGAGAATAGTGACCTTTGTGTATTTCATCTATGAAGTGAATATAATTTTTACTTAATAAAATAATAATAATTTCACTTTTTAAAAGGGTGAGCTTTCCTCAGGTGTTTTGGGATTTTTTCTTGTGAAAAACTTGTCCACCTTTCTCAACCCAGCGGAGTTTGAAGTCTGGAATTCCATCCGTCTCCAGTTTAGAGTGCAGCTAAAGGAAAGAATGGAGAAAAAAATGCTATTCATTTGGGTTTTATTATTATTAATTACAATTTGGTTTATCAATTTGACTCTTTAATCAATAACTTAAAGTAAAATTTAAGCTTAAACAGAGTTGTAACAGTAACAACAGACCTAAGATGCTAAAGCAGTTTAAATGATTTTTTTTTTCAATAGCTCTACTCAGCAGTCATAGAGGCACTTTGATTTGGAAAGATTAACAAATTCTGCTTGCTGTGGGATGTTTCATAGGGGAAGGCCATTGCTACAAAGGGACTTCTCAAGTTCTGATGTAAATAATACAGGATTCTGTGTAAATAACCAGATAGAATAAATGTGTCAATGGGTCCAATATTTATACAGTATGGCCTTTTTGTCTACATCCAGTCCAAAGAGAAGATTTCTATTAAAATCCTGTTTTGATGTTTTTTGCAGCGGACACAGGTTGTGTCACTACCCTATTTGTACTGTAAGCACAACCTGTACAGCTAATTAGCTAATATGTGCATGCACCAGCAGAATGGGATTCAGGTCATCATTAAATAATGAAATTGGCTACTGAAAGTACTTAATTGTATGGAATAATAATGATTTTGCTTGGTAAATTGATGTATTTAAATTCTTTCTGTTTTATTTTCTGTCTGTCATCATAATCAGACATGTTTGTAGGAGTCTGGCATATAGAAACAAGATTTCACCTTGTTTATCTGTATTTTAGAGGTATAGTTCTTAGATCATGCACTACAGCGGTACAATGAGATGCAGACATAAAACCAAAATTGAATGAAATCGTTTACAAAGTCATAGCTGAAAATGGAGCTGCCTGAAATAGGATAGGACAGTGTAAAAAGGCGTATTCTCACAGCATAGTTCTTATTAACTTTGTACGTAATATAGTTCAGTATGCAGATTTAGGCAGACCAGCAGATTTATTTTGCACACAGGTTTGATGACTTTTTCCTTGAGGTGGACAAAGTGGTAACATTCATGCATGTCTACAAGTTAGTGGATTCAAATGTGGGTAATTGTGGGAAAATTTGGCAGTGCTGAAGGACATTATTAATAGAAGAAATTGTGGGAGGTTTGGCAGTGGTTCAGGAGTAAAGTGTCCATGCCTTGGTCCTTAACACAGCCATCAAAGGTTCTGGTTCTGCCCTGTTGGGTTTTGTCTTCCCCTCTCTAACTAAACCCAATTTTAAGTTCATATAGAAACCAGTAGTGCCAAAAAGGTCTGGTTTAAGAAAAATGAGGTAGATGGAGGGAGTGCATTTGCAGCAACTGAGCCGCTAGCTGATGATGAGGTATGGTTTATTAGCAAGCTTATAGTGGGGAATCAGTTAGGAGCTCTGCACAGAGATGACCCCAGCCTCACAGAGGGTGCTGTTGCTCAAAACTTTCCAACAGAACTTTTCTTTAAAAAACTGCTATATAACTTTAGGTCAACTGAACTTTTGTGTTAAATGTCTCAGGGTAGAGAGGAAAAGTGCATTTGTAGTGACATTAAGGCTTGTACTGTACCTGCTCTAAAATCTGCTGCTGGATATGAGGGTCAGTCAAGTCAGCCTCAGACTGGAAGCTCAGCTTTATCCTCCTTCTTGGTGGGATCAGAGTCTGACAAATAAACTCGTGCTCTTCACTGCAGTCAACATCCCACCATTTTCCTGTGTCCGTTTTGACTGCAGTACAGGAAGTCATGTTGGTGCTGCCGCTGTTGTCAGGCTGGCCTACCTCCCAGTTTGTGAAGGTAACTGGGCTTTGGTCAGACCAGTTAGCCCAGAGATCTCTGTAAAGGCCCATCCAATTGTTAATTCCAAGCATGGGATGAATTTCGTTGTTCTGAGACATGTTCCACACTCTGACAAGATCAGTGTGTTCAGATCGACAGTAATTCTTAGCATCTTCCCAAGTTTTTAGAATGTTTACTGGAATGTATTTAGAAGCAGCTTTTTCTGATGGTAAAAAAAAAAGAGGGAAATAGTGAGAATAGAATTTTCACACATTTTCCTGTTTTTCATATTTTGATATTTAATGGTTTTATTCCCAGAAATGTTGAGAATAAAGTATTTGGTTTGGTAAGATTAATCTTACATCAAAGCAGATGAATCTGCGCTTTGAGTCACAGTCTTGATCTCGCCAACCCCCAATATAGTTCATGACGATGCAGCTCTGCTTGCCTTTTGCATTGTCAGGCTGATTTTTTTCCCAGGGTGGGAAACTGTTTTCACCGACAAAGTCAAAGTCATCCTCTCCCATCGTCCACTTCCAACCGGTGATCTTATCATAAAGGCCGATCCAAGCAAACTTTCCAGGTTCCTGCAGGGCAGTGAATAATCTGCTGCTTTCTTCAATTCTGTCTACGGTGACCAGATCACCATACACCTCTCTACAGTACTGCTGAGCTTTGGCCCACGTCTTTGGGATGTTCACATAGTGGTACTCCCGGAACAGGTTTGTAGATAGAACATAAACCCCTGATGGATAAGAGAAAGATTTGAACCAATCAGAAAAACAAAAAAAAAATCCGGACGTTAGGTTCACACATCTTTTGTTCCAAAAGCACTGAATCTGCTAAGGCTAATTTGAAAGTTATCATGGGGGGACATCATTATCATTCAATCCAATCCAAACCACTTGATTTATATAGCACATCTAAACATCAAAATGTTTCCAAAGTGCTGCAGATGCAACAAGGCAAATAAAACATTAAATACAAATAAAACAGTTGAAAACAATAAAATAGCCATAGGGGACCAGAGAATAAAAGTGAGTCTTAAGACGAGCTTTGAAACACTCCACGGTCATTGATAAAACAGACATCAAAAAGTGGACAAATTGTCAAGAACAGGGCAGATGGACCCTGTATTCAGGCGAGACAGAAAGTGGGAAAGTTTAAAATGTTTACAGCAGAGAGCTGTGGATCTCCATTCTGCATCGGCTGCAGGGGGGAGGCGGAGGCACTCTGGTTTAACACTTCAGTCCATCCTCTCCGAAGGAGGCAGGATCCAGCCAATGGACTGCCAAACAAGCAGCGACGCAGAGCCGCCCAGAGTTTCCCCGACGCAGCAACCCCAGAGAGCAGGCAGGAATCTGATCCAGGTCAGGGGTCCGATCCAAACAGGAACAGAAAGATCCGTGGTTCCAAGAATCCATGGACTGTTCAGGCAGGTTAAGAGTTCCAAAAGTCCAGCAGTGAGCTCAGACAGACATGCTCAGATGGAGACAGGTGGGCCCAGTAGTTGAAAAGAGACAGAGACAAGACATGGTACCAAGAGAACTGCTGAACTTTAAACTGGCTCCATCAAAGAGCCAGGACTACGGGACTTCAAACTAGCTTCCCCTCCGCCGACCCATAACAGGAACAGAGTGCTCAGTGGGCATGAGCCAGAACACGATCAGGAAATAGAAGACAAGACAAATAACCCCTTTCTAACCACTGGCCACCAAGAGCAAGGTGATGAACAACTGACTTTACTCAAACTCAAGTTAACAAACAAAAAACAACAATGATCAGGCTCCAATAGCTGGGCTAAACCGTATATTAAGCAGAAGGAGCAAGTGGATAAAATTAAAGATAATCAGTGTGTGGGGAGGGTTCGGCAGGAGAGTGAAGTATATATATATATGATATATGATATATATAAATATCACATTAATGTGTTTGCAGGATTTTAACAAGCACATACATGAATGACGAAGAATAATTCTAGCAAACCCCCCTAAAAGGTCACTTTTTTACAGGTACCTTAAACACACACCAAAATATCTCCAGGTCAGGTCTGTTACGTCAAAAAAACATTCCTGTATGCTCATGATTCATGATCGGTATATGCAAAAAATAAGGAAGAAAAACTGTATTAAAAAAATCAGCTCTAAGATCATGGAATCGATATTCGTTATATTCGGTTTAAGACTGGAATCAATTGGTCAGTGGTGGTTTCCAGGGAGAAAGATGCCTATTACTTAAAGTCCAAGAATCAAAAAAAGAAAAATGAATATAATGGAAAAAACAACAGCATTAAACTGCTGCAGTTGTGTACCCCTGTAACAAATGTATCTAACCATATTTTGAAATGAAATGAGGCATATAAGATCTGATTGAAACAATTTTGGAAAAGTAGCTAAAAAATCCAAAACTATAACACTGTAATGTTTTTGATTATTTTTTTTTAATTTCACATGTAAATTAACATTATGATAATTGTCTTTTCTGAAGTATTGATGCAAAACAAAAATGTGTCACCTTCAGAATATTTACTGTGAATTAAAATGTATCAGTACGCAGCTTTAAAGACTGACCTGAGAAAGTGAGGACAAACAGTAGTGTGTTCTTCATCCTGCAAAAAGCAAGAAAATGCACTCCAGCAAACTACGGTACTTTCAAAAGATAGTAATGAGCTTTTAAAAACAGATAGATCTTATTGAGAGTGCAAATGATTTTCTACCTCTGAAGCTTAAACAATAAAACTACATACACAGATCAATCAGTAAACATAAGAATCAGCTTACATTTAATTACACCTTTCCTAGAATTGAAAAAGCTCCAGTTCTCATTGCTCTTGCTTTGATGATGGTTGTGATTAGAAGAACCTCCAACCATTAGGGAGACATTTGTTAGCTTCCTTTCATTCCTTTCCTCTTTTTTCTCGGATGCTATGCAAAGTCGTCCTGGTATTGGATGCTGTAGCTCATCAGATGCAAAACTAGGTGGTAAATTGAGCATTTAACTTTGAAAAACAAGATAATCAAAGAGCAGATTGTTGTATTAATTTACATAAATGTACCGAGGTTGCATTCATTTTCATTGAATATGTTTGTACCAGTTCACATTGTAGTCATAGAAAGTTAATACATAGAACCGATCATTAGATGTATTTTATTGAGTATGAACAGGGAGCTAATAGAAAGCTGTGACACCTGGATGAAATTCTAACATGTTCTTTGCTGTTGAAGATAAACGATAAATTATTGAATATGAAGTATTTCCCCACTCAAACAATTGTTTTTTCATCTTTTCATTGTCCATCATGACTTCTGCTTGCCCAGATGCAAACACTGCCAGTAGTTGTTTGAGAAACCTTGAAATGAATCTTTTATATACCTATGGATGAAAGTTAGCCCACTTTTTTTTTGCATAATTGTTTTAATTTAGCTGCATTACAGTGTTTTTGAGCATGTATGACCTCTTTAAGTTAACCCCAAAGTATCTCAGCATTTAAATATTTAAAGGTAAAGGTATTTGGATTATTCTCCTGCCGCATACTGTGACTTAAATTGACTTTGTATTTTTGCTTCAAACTGATGACTGCATTACTTCCAGATCTTGTAGAAATAGGAATTCATAGACAAGCTGATCAGAGCATCACACTACCACCACCCTGCTTTAATGTTGGTATCATGCAATTCTGCAATGATGCTGTTTGGGAATCAGGTCTACCCTTCAGCGGCTTTTACCCCAGTACGTTCTGTCGCCTAGCAACCGTGATAGTTGACACACAAAGCAGGGAAAGAATGAATACCGAACTTTCCAAACTTTTTCTTTTTTAATTTTTTTTCTTTTTGTAAGTGAAAAAAGTCTTCACTCATGACTCACTTATTTTGTGTTCCGGGTGATTCTTTTTCCTTTTTTCTTCTTGAACTGATTTCTAAGTTGAACTGAGGACCGCAGAGCATGTGGTTTTCCAAAGGCCTTCCTTCAACCTAATTTCATTTGTTTTTGCCTTGGCCACGGCTCCTGATCATGGCTTCGGCAAATCTTCAAGTAATTATGCAAAAATCAACTCTCCCGTCTCATTTGTTGTGTGAAAATGGTGGTGAAATGAGGCGTGTGACCTTCCGCTCCAGGGTTGTTTAGACCATAATATAAGCAAACTAAGGGAAACAGACAGGTGCAGAACCCTCTAATGCACTAGGATAAATTATTATTATCACCTAGGTGCAAAGAATTTTTTCCCAAATGTTTTGTCTTTAAAGGGGGGCTGGAAATTAAAGTATATTGCCTGACCTGAATTCAGCTGTCTCTTGAAACAACATTAAAAAAGGACTCTGCAAAATTCTTATTTGCTCGTATTCCCATCGTGATTCAACCCCTGACAAACAGATCTTTTTTGTAAATCATGTGCACTGCATTCCTAATTACCTTTAATGCATTGTATCAACAGCAGAGGACTTTAATATTCATACCTCAGCAGAAACATATGTAGAGTTACAGTGTTTGACCTTTGAACTTTAAGGGTCACTCATCAAATTGCCTCTAAGGCTGTCTCAAGGCTGAATGAAACTAAACAGATGGACACAGACTCTCTGGGAAAGAAGGTGCAACTTTAATTTGTGTAATGCTCCCTCTTGTGGAGATCTATGGAATTTGATCCCTTCTTCATCAGAGCTGTTCTTCTGATATTATGTATTAAACTTATTTATGTTTGATCTTCACCAAAAAACACAGCCTCCTTTTGTTCCTTACACTGCAAAAATGACCTATAAATAAATAAAAATCTAAGCCTGTTCACCCTTAATTTGAGTAGATAAATAAGATGATTTGCCAATGAAATGAATATTTTTACTCTAAAAATAAGATAATTAGATAATATGCATTTGAAATAAGACAATGCAAATGTTTTTTTTCTTATTCTAAATGGAAAATGTATTTTACCATTGGCAGAGTGTCTCACTTGCCTCCTCAATTTAAGAAAAATGCACTTATTAAAAAAAATATATATATTTGTATATATATTTATTTAGACCTGACCTATTTTACCTATTTATTAATTTTTTAATGACCTATTTTATTTTATTTTTTTTGCAGTGTATTCCCCTCTCACACCTCTAAACAAATAACCAACCACCACAGTCCATTAATATTTTTAAACTCCTCTCTTGCCCCCACTCCTTGCTGGTTCCTCCTGTTACCTGATACCTTCCGATTAATTTTCTCCTCTATCCCTGCTTTCTGTTGCTCCTTAGATTCCTGTTTTGTTCATTTCTGGCTCTGTGTGCTCCTTCTGATATTGTAAAATTTGTTCAAAGACTATCTGTTGCTTTGCATTTGACTCCAAAACCACAACTACATCATGTCAGACAGACAAAGCAAAACAGGCCTTCACTTCAAATGAAGCCCTGTTTATCCATTGATATCAAGAGAGCTTTAAAGTTTAATATCTGAATCAATAGTAAGACTAAAGGTTTTGGCTGCACAGCAAGTAAAAATTATAAGAAAACCATCCAACAATTTTTCTGTATTCGTTTTATTGTTTAAACCTCCAGTAATTCAAGGAGTGTATATAAGAAAACATTAAACACACATATCTTATACATAAATAAAACCAACAAACATGAACATTAAACATATTATCTTGCATATGGTTAGTCCTGTTAGTTAGTTAGTTAGTTAGTTAGTTAGTTAGTTAGTTAGTTAGTTAGTTAGTTAGTTAGTTAGTTAGTTAGTTAGTTAGTTAGTTAGTTATTTTTGCCATATCATCATTTTCAACTTTTCTGGTCCTGCAGTTTAAAATGGAGCCAAGGCAGAAGTTCAACTGAACAAACTGATTGCTCTCTTATATCCACCTGTGACACAGCCAATAAGCTTTGAACCACGCTTCCACGAAAGTCAATCGGCATCCAAAGTTCATCTTTGATCCGCACTGTCTGCCACCTAGTGCACAGGCTGTGGATACGCTGTGACTTCATTCAGATGACACCAATTCAACCCACCTCCAGCCCCTCCTCCACCTTCGTAGCTAAAGCTTCATCAGAGTGTCATTCTTCCCGGACTCTTACTGCGTTCCCTGTCTCATCTTAACCGGTCCGGCAGAAGACCGCCATGTTGAGCCTGGTTCTGCAAGAGGTTTCTTCTACACAGGGAGTTTTTCCTCTCCACTGTTGCTCCATGCTTGCTCATCATGGACAGGTTCTCTCAACCTGACTTCCATCTTCCAGGTCCCTGAGTGAAGCTCTAGTGTCAGCTCACGTGATCCACTGGATCTCCCTATAAAGCTCAGCATACCGTCTGGCTAACTAGCAGTCTACGTACTGACCAACTTCATCTATCTCCTCTCCACTACCAGTTTCAGGCCTCTGAAACTGGTAGTGCATATCTATCAAAATTAAGCGCTATGTTTCCTGCCGAGGTCTGAGCGCCAAAGACAGAGTAACTGTATCAATAAATTTGTCCTAATTGTCTTTTCACTTCGTATTAGTTTTTCAGATTGAACTCTTCTGGTGTTTTAACAGTTGCCAGGCCTGGCTGGTTTTATGAGAACCAGCAGTATTCCTCCCATGTCCCTTAGCTACTTAAAATTCTGCAGGCAAGCCATAATGAATTTATTTTAGTTACATTACCGTACAAAATTCTTGTTTCAGACTGTGCTGAATTGCAAATGATA